TTGGATGGGAGACCACCAAGGACGACTGCAGAGGAAGAAAATGGCAAACCACCTCTGCTTCTCACTTGCCTTGAAAGCCCTTTAAAGGGGTCACCCTAACTTTATACGGAAGTTCAAGTAAATGTATTGACCCTGTGCTTCATTCTTTTCAAATGCTGCCGTGAAGACTTTAAAGAAGCTTGAATTGCAAATACAGAATAATTTAAAAGCAAAGATTCATCAGGGTCATTCCAACTAGGCCCCTTGACAATGAAAACACTCTGGGTAACGTCTATACATAACGAATTCATAGAGTCCGTAGTTGAATCTATCTAGGCAGGAGTAAAGCAAGAATCCGAATGAGTACAGCACCAGCTGCAATAATTTTTTCCCCATGCCAAATTCAAACCTTTGGTTTAAGATTTTTTAGATTAAAATTTTTTAAGGGGACCATTTCTCCCAGTCTGACAGCAATTAATCACAATTCTTCTTAGAAAACAACCTGTCTGACTTTAAATAAGTTTTTAAAAACAGTATCTTTTACCCAGTTAGACCACAACCCTAATCTGTTTTCTGGTCCACTTTTTCCTTTGAGGTGCAAAATTTATGCTTTTTGAAAAGAATATGGGTTTTTTTTTACCAAGGGATTATATATTCTGAATATTTCTAATCATTTATGCACATCACATTTAAGTGAACAAAAAGCTTTACAATCTGGTCTTGCTTCTCTTCACACTTCTGTGACATAGGTTCTTAGGAATCTCATTTTACAGTTGGGCTTGCTCAAGAGCTGCATCAATTTAAGGCTAAAAATTTTTTATTCGAGTCTTCCAGAACCATGTCAGTGTTCCATCAAGCGGCCCATACTAGCTCTGGCGTAAGGGGGCTTAATCACTGAGCCTGCTTGCGGGGAGGGCAGTGTATAAATCAAAATAATAAATAAATAATAAATCACGAGTTTGGAAATGGGCTGTCTTCCAGATCCCAGTTCAGAAGGGAAGTTTTCTTCCGCATTTTGCTACAGGAGTGGCTGTAGTGTTAATCTATCCCAACCTATTTTAGGGTTTTTTAAGAAGAGGAAATGCAGTGTGCAATTTAAGCACCAACAATGAAATTGACATCAGCCCATGAAATGCTCCCCTGAGGACATGCGAGTAGCCTCATGCTGGCTGAAGGTTATATAAGCAGAAATCGCTTGACTTCTGGTGGGGAGGGCACTGGTAAAACAGGCAAACAAAACACAGAGGGAAGGGTTTTTTTAAAAAGTCAAGCTGATGTCATTCTCATGCAGAACTTCCTTTTTAAAAGTATAGGCTACACTTTGAAAACAAATAAAAATAAATTGCATAAAACACACTGGATTACAGGCTACAGGAGACACCTTTAACTCAGACTTGCAAATTAGTTGTGATTGTTAAAGGAACATTCCTATTAAATCGAGATTGACACTGCATTGCCTGTAGTATACTAGAATCTGCAAACATTATTAACAATGTAATCCTAAACAAAGCTACAGCCATTGAAGTCAGTGGGCTCAGAAGGGTATACTTCTGCTTAGGATGGCACTGCAAATCACAGAATTAATAAGTGGTGGTTTATTACAAATTCAAAGGCTTTAAAAAAATAAAGTTACAATCTGCTACCTTTAAAGGCATTGTTTCCCCAAGTCTTATGAAAGGTGTTGCTTGATTATGCCCCTCCATTTCAGCTTGGTGTGTTTTCATGTAAATGGCGAAAATCTGATTCCCAACCAGCAGGTATTGTGTTCCATTGCAGCTCTTGATTCAGCACTAACTTGCCCATCTTTTATTCTCATTTTACAGAGCCCACAAGAAAGGGGGGGAGAATCTTGGCCTTGACATTCAAATTAATATCTGTACATCCAAAATGATACCAGATCACAGTATATAGGAATCAAGAAACCCAGATGTTCAACATCTAGCCATTATGCATATATTATTGACTACATTCAACCTACTTACCATATGGACAGTTTTGTATGCAGTGGTGACTAATTTTTCCAGGCTGCCACAATGCAGGAGCCAACACATTTTTATTGAATTAGGTTAGTTTCACTCCAATAAAGGTTTCCATTGCATTTTTAAGCTTTTAGCAGTATCTATCTTGCTCATGGCACCTCAGCCCCATACATACCAAGATTTATTTATATATGAACATTTTCTTTAAGTAGGTCAGGAATAGCCTTGTGACTTTATCAAGACTCTGTAAATAACAAGATCCTTAGGAAAAGGCTTGGATATCCCCCAACTCTGTTTAGAAAGCTCTTATTGATGAACTTGGGTCAGTATTTATTTGAGATACTGGTAAAGGTTAAATTGCTATATGTGACTTCTAGGATATCCAGGCAAAGAATTCAAATGAAGTTCTACCCAAACTGCTTCTCTTTGTTAACCTTAGTAATAACAGAGACTCATTTTAGTACACTGGAGAACACTTCCAAAGGTTGAAGCTTCATTTAATGATATTAAACTTGGCATCTCTGAAGAAAATTACACATTGGCATGATAACAGATGTGTAATGCAATCTAGGAAGAGGTTTTAAAAACAGATTAGGAAGAAGCATGGGCAAATTAAGCGGAGTGTACTGAACTGTGAGTTTATTCTCTTGACCCCCTGCCTTTCCTTTATAACATTGACTCCTGTTTTTGGCATTTCATCTTCCTATCCTTTTTGTGAGTTATATGGGCTTTGTTATGAGACGTGATAACTGTAACTCATCTCAAGCAGAACAGAAATGATTCACAGTTTAAATTACACTATGAACTTTATAAACATTGAAGGCTTTTCATTCTCTCTCACCATTTCCATCTGCAAGGAACTGTGCGCTTCGTGGCTTATTCTTTACATTTCTTTGTCCATGGTATACATTTACTGTTATGTATTAAAGAAGTAACGCAATAGTGCAGTTGAATAAATAGGGCAAGGAGGGCAGTTGCCAGTTTCAAGGTATACCAATATTAACAAAGTAAGCATAATCTACTATGGCTGGTGAAAAAAGAATTCAAGAGCCATCATCACATTTTTAGGCATCGGGGGTTTTTTAAAGCATCTCCCTGGAGATGAAAAATGTTATCAATTCCAGCATCACATCTTTTAAGCCACTAGACAACTGGAGGCCTGGGAGTGTCGTCGTCCGTCGTCCCCCCCCCCCGCCGCCGCCAGTGCCAGTGGTCTGACTTCCACAGCGACATCTGACAGATGAGAGCCAAGGAAATAAACTGAAACTGTACCAGAACTCTTACCTGGATTCCATTCATTTGCATATGAGAAGTTCCCCACAGTATCTTTTTTATTTATTTATTTAAAACATTTTTATGTTGCCTTTCTACCCGATCAGGTCCCAGTATAAAGACATGCTTATCCTGGAATAAATGCTAAGGCCATTCCGACCCTCCTCTGACAGTACAGGGGCCGGGGGGGGGGGACGGGTCTTCTGAAGGAAGAGCATTTCTGTTTGTACAAGGGCAAGAGATTCCCACCAGCTCTCCCCCTCAAGACTCCCACTTTGCCCCTGTGCTTTTTCTCAGGGTTCATTAACCCCAAGGAATAAAATTTTTAAAGGGGAGGGGGAGAATCAGGGGATTGTAAATGGAGGGGGAAGCAGGAAAGTTCCACTCTGAAACGCTCCGATTCATGCCACCATCTTAAGGCCGGCACACTCTCTTTGCTTACGTTTAGGTTACTAAATACATTACAGAAATAACCCCATGATGGCCTACCTGTGTCCTCAATGTTATTAAACCATTCTATGAAATTTGCTAAATTTTATTGGGTTTCCTTAATGGCTTCAAAAGGGATTAAATCACCAAAACGTGTTGTGTGTCAAAACTCATTTTGTTCAACAGGCTGCATTTTTTCACACTCTTTTAACTGCTATTTGAAAACTGGTAGGGGAAAAAAATGGTGTGTTTGAATCAAGGCCAATTCATATGATCACATCATTATACACCCCAATACTGTACACAGTTACTCAGAAGAAAGGTCTATTGGCTTCAGTGGATTGATTCCCGAGTGTTTTGCATTAGAGCCACGAAGTCATAAACTTATTGCATCCTAACTTGCTTTACATAAACAAGTACTGGTTTCCAAGGGTAGCCATGTTGGGTCTGCAGTAGAAAAGCTAGGTCCAAGTCCAGTAGCATCTTTGAGACCAACAAGATTTTTTGGGTATAAGCTTGACTCTTGAAAGCTCATACCCAAAAAATCTTGTTGGTCATTAAGGTGCTACTGGACTTGAATCTAGATGAACAAATACTGAATTCATGCGATAAAGCGGCTCTGTCTGCAGAGATCCGAGTTCTAATCTTCACTCTGCCATGAAGCTCATCGGGCTAGTTACTGTCTCTCAGCCTAACCCATCTTACAAGGCTGTGAAAATAATAAAATGGACGAGGTACACTACCCTGAGCACCTTGGAGGGAAAAAACGAGATGAAAATGTAACAGATAACAGGGGCCTCCAAGATGTGTCCCTGTACGGCACCTGACGGCGTGAGAAGGGCTATAGTGTGATCATTTTTAGTATCACGTAAAAATTATGAGCACATGGCCTCAGTCCAAAAGAACTCATGCATTTTATGTGGCATTACATAGATACTTTGTGCATCCCCTTTAAAAAAAGCAAAACAGGATCTACCATCCTTTATGGGGTCTCTATAAAGAAAGAAAGGAGCCTGCTGCTATTCAAAATATCAAAATTTAAAAGTAATTCCCCCCGGCGTGGACCTTAACACCCTGTGAAAGGGATCTGCAAGCCAGGGCTCTGCTAAGTAAGACTACATATGCAAAGCAGCTGAGCATGTTAAGACATCCCTGCACTGTGCTTGAAGTAAGCACGTCACCTGAAGAAAGACATTTTGGATTCTGTTAATCCATCAGTCCTACAGATGTTTCCAGAATGCATATGAAGACCACAAGACTGAGAAAGGCGTCAGGGGAGAAGCAGCTTTTAAAGCTAAATGTAAGAGGCACACATTATTATTTTTAGAAGTATCTCTCTGTAGTCCTTTGCTGCTCCCAAGTCGCTTGCTTAGCAAAGGCCTCTGTTCTGACTCCTCCCATTTCTGTGATCAGTCAAGTCCTCAGTACAGCTTTTAAGGTCCCAAACGTGTGGTGCACTATACTTTGCTGAGAGGGCCGGCACGAAGGAACGCTCGGCACAAGTGGTGAAAGCCCTCAGTCGGACATCCAGAAACCAGCTCTCTCCCATTTCTTCATCTCTTCTTCCAGTGAAGGCCACTCGCATCGTACACGTGCATATGTCCCTTTTGTCTGTGCACTCCCGAGATAGAGAGATCTTGAGCTAATATAGCTTCTAATTGCTCTTGGCCTCAGACGGCTGCTTTTGAAGCCTCTGCAAATGGCACTATACAAAACAGCAGTACTTTTTCCACCAGGACTTGGAGAGGTTTTTCATTTTGTCCGGAGTCCTGCTTTTCGATTTCTTTGGCTGTTGCTGAGTATCCGAGTACTGAATGCCAGCAACAATGGCTGCATCAAAGACTTCTTTGAGGTTTTTCTGAGTCAAGGCAGAGCACTCGATATAAGAGGCGGCTTTTGTTTCCTCGGCACAGATCCTCGCGGCCTCCTCTGCCACTGGCTTTTCTTTGCACTTGTCTAACTCAATGAGGACTTTGACATCCTCCCGGAGGTCTGATTGTGTCCCCACGAGAATAATCGGTGCTCTGGGGCAGTGGCATCGGATCTCAGGAACCCACTTTTCACTCACGTTCTGGAAAGAGGAAGGGCTCACCACACTGAAGCACAGCAAGAAGATGTCTGCGTTGGTGTAGCACAGGGGCCGGAGCTTGTCAAACTCATCCTGTGCAAAAGGAAATGCAACATGAATCTCTAGCGACAACACGGGCTCAGCGACAACAGTGCCTTCAAAGCACCCACAAGGCATTAGCATTCCTGGGAGGAGAATGATCAACTCTTCAGCATCTAAGGAATGATCATATTTACCTGCATTCCCTGAGGAAATGGGTTTTAGCTCATGTACATATGCCAATCAGGGCTCTTTTTGTAGAAAAAGCCCAGCAGGAACTCATTAGCATAATAGGCCACACACCCCAACAGCAGAAACTCATTAGCATAATAGGCCACACACCCCAACAGCACACTTCATTAGCATATTAGGCCACACCTCCATGTCTTCCCTTGACTTGCCCAGTTGCCCCATGGCTGCGGGATGCCTGGCAAGCTGGCCCTTAAATGCCTCCCCGATCCTTCCAGCCCCCACTGCCTGCTTTGGAATCGCTGGGGGGGGGGTTGCTCTCCAGGCCTTCCCTCTATAGCTACGAGCACAGATGTTTTAGCTGTAGTGGGCGTGGCCAACCCTGAAGCCAGCCGGAACTCCGTTCCTGTGCGTTCCTGCCCAAAAATAGCCCTGATGCCAATTATAACTGTACCAGAACAATTTTTTAAAAAAAGAGATATGTATACTACTCCTTGCACCTGGCAAACCAGTAACTCAGGAAGATTAAGCTCGTAGCCTCCTCCCTGGCAGGCAAGCTTTCTGCAGGAAAGGTTTTTTGGATATGGGAGAACATTTGATCGCATGTTCATGGGAGAAAGATGAACTCAGACTGAACTAAACTAAACTATTGAGGATAGGAACAGAGAGCTCTTCCTCTGAGTAGAGACTGAAAGACTGGCCTCTTTATCTTAGAATTCTGCAGATATACCAAAAGTTATTGAATGCATCTGCTTTCCAACATAAATTTGTTACATGGGTTAGTCCATCCTTTAGACCAGAAACTATAACAAAGCTCAGCTCTAAGGCTGTTTTCAGAGGGCACAGAGCACAATTTTCCATTATAGCCTATTGGCTATGCAGTTCATAGGGAGGACTTCCTTCCAACCCCATCATCTCATTTCAGGGTTCTTGCCCCCTTTCTTGGGTGTTACAACCAAAGACAGTGGATGATACAGAGACTGAGCTGGATTCCAACATTTCCCCCCCTGGAAATTCTACGAACAGGGTTCCTTCTTTGTCAGGGGCTGACTCATGATTATGAAAGACAACCTAGTCAACCCCTGCATTTAACTTTAAGAAGCAGCTCAGTGGTAGAGCATCTGCTTTGTATGCAGAAGGTCCCAGATTCAAACCCCCCCCCCGTATCTTCAGTCAAACAGATCAGATGGTGACATGAAAGACCCTACCTAAAGCCCCAAAGAATTGCTGCCAGTCAGTACTGACCCTGATAGACCAGTGGTTTGATTCAACTCAATAAGGAAGCTTTATGTGTCCGTGCATTTACATCAGGTTGACCTGATGGATTGGTCCCTGCTGCCATCATGGGAGTTGGTCTACTTCCTGATCTTAAGCTTCTTTTCTCAGTGGGCACCCAGTTTTTGCCAGTGGCAACTCCTATGCCAGTGACTATAACAGAAGGGTAAGTGGATGGCCTGTCTTGAAGTACAGGAGGAGGGTACTGGCCAAAAAGGCCTTTTGACTCCTTTCCAATCTTATTTATCTGAACTATTTAACTTTAAAAATATATTCATTAACTGATACCTGAGCTGAACTGGTGTGACTGAGGCACCAGCAATGGAGGCAACCTTTGACGTTGCAATCAGGGAAAACCAGGAGCACAAAGCAGTCAGAGGCAGCATCCATGCTGAAGGCATCAAAACAAATATGGTCCTTCAGAAGGTGACCCTGCTATTTTAGACTCAGATTGATCACTGCCATCCATTTTAATGAATTACACGTCACACACTTCACATGCCAGTGACATGAGAAAAGAACACATTGCGTTCCCTTCCCCCCGTGCTGCCTCATTCACAGACAATCCTCATGCTACATGCTCTCCATCCTCTTTCTAAAACATAACATTCATAGTTTGCTTTGAGCTCTGCTCTTTTCTGGAAAGGAATCCTCCATCCCGGGGAAAGAGGAGCATCAGTAACAAGAGAATTTCCCACGCCACACTCTTGAAGATCACAGGGGCTTCAAGAATTGCAAGGTGAGGAAAGCAAACGGAGGCAAAGATTAACTCCACACTGTGCTTTCATGCTGACAGCAGGATAAAAGCACACCAACCCAGGCCTCCCATACAGACAGGCTTTGCCTCACATGTGGAGGCATTTTAATTAAAATTCAGCATGTTTCTCAGAGGATCTTAAATTAACAAGTGCAAAGAACGAGTGCAGTCTGAAAGGTCCCTCTCCCATGTCAATGCTCCGTTGCCCAGATACAACTTGCATGTTCATTTATTAAGTTTTTGAGGTTGGGAAAGCTTTTGAGGAGCCACGGGCGCCCCGTTCTTAAAAACATATCAAAAGAAAGCATCACAAGTCCTCTCCCACTTGACTACATTTCTTTCTGGGGAATCTGCAGAGGGAGATGCTAGTAAACAAGACAGAAGTCAGGCAAGCTAGCTTCATTAGCTTACTTGTTTCACAGACGTAAGCCCTGTCAGGAAGCAAAGCCAAAGATTCCCACTGTGCTTTGAGTTTGAACTGCAGCGTGTTACATTACCCTACCCTGCCACGCTGTGTTCCTAAAAGAACTGGAGTTACAAACATTTGCACCATCAGAGCTTGTGTGCATGAGAGTAACCACTGTAAGAATTGTCACACTGATGTCACACTGATGACATCATGTTGCTTGGAACTGGGAGGAGCCTGGATGATGGAGAAATAGAATCAGAGGTCAAGGTGATGTAGGAGTACAAAGAAACCCCCAGGATAATCACCGGCTCTTTTCTCATCTCTTATCTCCAGCTTACAGGCCATAAAAACAATACGTCTAGGATAAAGACATCATTAGCATTCATGACCCCCACAAGGCTCTCCATAGCAAAATGGAAAGGGAGGCCATGAGATGCATTTTGGTAATATATTACCCTCTGCATTATGTTAACACACACACACACAAAACCTTTATTGTCATGAAAGCACAAAACATCATGGAAATACAGGAAAATACTAAGATGCATCAGTCACACTTGGCTGTTCAAGCCTCGTCTTCTGATTGCATAATATAAAAATTTTGCAACAGCCTCCATTATTTCGCAATTAGAATTAAGCAGAAGAAAGTGAACAATTGAGTCATCAGAGTGCCAGCTCTTACCCTCTAGAAATGGAGTAATAAAACGAGATCAGATATCCCTATAGAGGGGGCAATGAAGTATGGTGTGTGTAGTGGATTCTATATCTTTTAGAGAGCAAGGGCAAAGTCTGTCTACATATGGTATCTGGTGGTACCTCCCTAAAAGCACCTCTGATGGCAGAACATTAAAGCGGTCAAGCATGTATGCTCTGCAATGATGTGAGGCTGTTAAACTTGACAAATACTTCGCAGTAGAGCCCATGTCAAAAGTCCCCAACCTGCTTGGGGAGCATCTGCTGGCTGCACGTTCCCTAAGTTCTTGCCTTTTGATGTTGAGAAAACTTTGTTTAATAATAGCATAGGCTTGTTTATCTGAAAAGGGAGCTAAATAATCCGGGGATATTCCCATTGTAGAGAGTTTCTCCTCTACATATCTAACCCATGGAGAGAGATGGGGCTCAGTTAACATGTGAGTAATAATACTTTTAGCTTTAGCATGGAAATGAAGTTTAAGCCAGAATTGAGTTGTTATCAGCCATGCTCTGGTCGATAGAAGCCTTTGATTGGTTTCTAAGCATAAAGCCTCTGCATTATGTTGCGCCAGCCAGTAGCAAACAAGAAGGCTCCATGTGCATTGTGTAAAAGCCAGTAAAACAAGTTTGGGTGAGATAGCTTTGCAAGATAAAAACACTGTCATACAATGCAAAGATCAAGGATTATATTGTCAGAGGCTGCACTGTCAATTTTAAAATCAGCCAGTGGGTCACTACCAAATACAAGGCCCCATATATTTCTACCTGAACATACACATCAATACATACTTCCTTTTACACACAAATGACAGACCATCTCCTACTCTCGCCATCTAGCAGAGCAAGAGGAGAAAGCTGCAACTGCCCGGAACTCAGGTGGGCTTGGCAGCATGGATATATCCACAAAGCACCGCTCATCCCTCTGGATAATGTGTGAAACCCCCAGATCACACAGAAGGGACCCTTGCGGCATCCTCTCCCCATGCTTGCATCTTTCTTGGGGAAACAAGCCACTGCTGGCATGGGCTCCACCTGTATGGCCCTTGGCAGTTCCTATATTGCTAAGTCCTTGTAAGAAGGCAGTCACTGAGCTCCACATCCAACAGGAGTAGCCCCGGGAGAGAAGGCTGGGTCATATGTAAAAGTATGTGGGGCCAATAAGGAGGGCTGTGGGGAAATTGTAGGGGGTCAAAGGAAAGGCTTCAAGAAATTCAGTTGGGCAATTTCCTTGACACCGCCCCACTGCTTTCCCTCCACATCCCCCACCTCGCCCCTTTCGCCTCCATCTTACCTTGTTTACTATCCTTCCACCTCACCCTGGCTGCTGCCACATCTCTACTCCCACCACAATATTTATGCACCGTTTTGAGTTGCTACAACCTTCCCAGGACCTCTTTCCTACTTTAGCAACCCTGAATGGTATGCAAAAGCCAGTTGTTTGCTTCTTGTGACAGCTTCACACACACCACTGGTCAGTTTAGGGGTGTTAAACGTTTTTTTAAAAAAAAAAAATCCAAGACCCGGGAGTTATTTTACAATGCTGCATTATAGTGGATCGCCCTGTTGTGGTGGTGTAGCTATCCACGAGAAAAGTCGCCCTTTGCAATCAGATATATAGCAGTCATTTAAGCTAAAGGAGGAGTTTTACTAACCTGGCCAGCTGTGTCACAGAGCTGGAGCCTAACTGGTCGGCCATCTACTGACACAACAGCTGAAAAGGAAAGAAACAGCCAATGAGACAGCCATTGATGAAGAATTATGTCTTTGCTCACATTTCTCATTTACCTTTGAACCCGTTCCAATGTAACAGCCTTTATGAACCAGAAGTTCGTTTGTCCCCAGTTCCTAGGCATCCATGAGCTCTTCAGAACTCTCTTAATTCATTAGGCGGCAGAAGCAGCAAATCACTGAATGAAGAGGCTTTCATGGTACAAAACAAGCCATCCCAAAGACCCTATGTAGTCCATCCCCCCTTCCCCCCCACCGGCTTCAGTATTAATTTTCTTGTCACGTTTGAGTTTCCAAAGCCCTGGCACAAAAGACGCTCCCAAGCCCTCCTTGGTTTAAATGACAGAGAACACAATGCAAATATTTACGTTTTCCCTTGGGAAGCTATTCTTTTTACACTCTTTTCAGTCCTGCCCTAGAGAATTTATTACTCCAGGAAAAACTAGCCTGATAACTACTGGCTGCTAAAAGTGCCCTTATTATTATGCTGTTTATTAGCGTTTCCCAACTATTTAAAATGTGCTTTTTTCCTCTCTTGTCAAGATTGCAGATTTATTGCTTTTCTTGCTACACTTTATCAGTTTGCAATATTGGTGGCCTTTAGGCATTTTAAATTATGACACTGGCCGACCAGTCAAAACCAACTGCAGTTAGCTCAAGAAGATAATGTACACCAAAAAAGAAATGATTGGATTGGTCCTACTGTACTATGAAACCAAGCATTCAGCAGTGCTAACCACAAACCACTGAACTCAGGTTCTCACCAGCTGAAGGCTGCTGTCTTCGGCACACCAACTTGGGTGCTGGGTCCACAGTGGGCCATTTCTGTGTACACATGTATAGAACCAGACATCCTACACATGCACACACTAGTTGAAGTAGATCATTTAGGTGGCTTGTGGAACACAGACCCTGTAACTTCAGAACTGCGCTTTATGCTTTATAGCAAACAAGCTCACACAAATGTTTTGCATGTCTGAAAAGGGCAAGTGACAGGGACTCTTATGTGTGCATTTTCTATGTTGTCAGCTACACAAACGCGCCTTACATGTGATAGAAAAAATGCCACCCATCTGTTTTCATTGTATGATGTGAAGAGGCACTAAGATCCTGCCCCAAACAGAGTGAAGACAACAGCGTGAAGACAACAGCTGATGCCCCAGCAGCTTCCCACTTAACACTCACCAACCTTTATTAAAATTGGGGAGACTGACGGGGGTTATTACATTACAGCAATTCACGAGGCAGGCAAGCGAGAGCCATTCATTCCCCACCGGCTCTCCGAAATCAATGCCCATCTAAACTAATGGCAGAGGAGAGGTGAAAGTGACTGCAGAAGGGACTTTGCTTCCCCCCCCCTCCTTCTGAACCCCTGAAAAGGTATCAGGATTATGAGCCCTTGAAGAGGACTGGCATGAAGTGTGATGTCTTGGAAAAATAAAAATAAAATTGTCCACGGGCTCTGCACACTCAGAACAGCCTTTGAGTCCGAGACCTCTCTTTCTCTAACTCAAGCAAGCTCTTGCCAACTCAAGTACTGTGTTCCCTATGCAATATTACAGAATAAACATCTGCTACAGAGAAGCTCGTGGCCGATTGTAGGTCATACTCTGCAAAACAACGGGTTACAGTTCGAATGCCCAGGCTCCCTGTTTTTATTCTAGACTTCAACTGGAATAGTTTGCAAAATATAATGGAAACCAATGGTCCGGGTCAGTATCTGAAACCAGAAGGGGAGGGGGAGGAATACACCACGTTTTTTCTCTCTCAACAGTCCAGGCTAAGATTTGTAAGTCTTTTAAACTTCAAGAGCACAGCCTGTCCTTCACTTCATTTTTTTTTAAATGCATCTATATAAAGTCAATATATAAACCCATGGCATATTTTAGGTGGGCTGTATATTTCTGAAGGCCTTCCAAGTTGAACAAGACTATCCTCTGTGATGGTTCTCTGGAGATATGTGATATCTCCCTCCTCGTCCATAAAAGACTGGGCAGGCAACTATTGAGGCCGAGCCATTTCTTCCTCTAGCCTTTGATTTTACAATAGATGCAGCCCCTTCCCCGGTAAGGGAGCTCCATGCACAATTCCAGCACTGTCACCTTTTTCCTGCCGTGGCAAATCCTTTCTACTTGCAACTACCCTTGAATCAAAGAGTAATGCAGCTCTCCACACTGAACTCCGGAAGAAGGGGGAGCCGCCCCTTTTACAGTTGTACGGTTCAAAGTCGACTCGAAGGGGCTCCAGAGGAGAAAGGCAGTTGGCGCCTGACTCTGAAATCCACCAGCTGGGTCCTCATCCTCAAGCAGCCTTCTGACAGAGCCTGCCTTTAGCACCTCGGTTCTAAGACGTTTAAGGGGCAGCCTCATGAAATTCTCCCACACGGACCACACACACACCCCGTCCCGATCTCTCACCTGAGAAATTGTCGAAGGCAGTGGGGATGTACTCCGTGGGGTAGCCATTGGTGGTGTAACTTACTACCAGGCTGGTCTTGCCCACCGCGCCGTCTCCCACCAGAACACACTTGATGCTGCGCCGGGGTTCAAATCCGGCCGCTCCGCCACCACCCGCTCCGGCTCGGCAGCGGCTTCCGAGAGCCGCTCCCAACGCCGCTGCCCGGCTGCTGCGGACCCGGCGCGGAGGCACCGGCGGTACCTCGCAGCCGCCCGGCAGCGGCTTGCTGATGTAGCCCGTCTCTCCCTCTTGCTGCGGCGGCATCCGCCTGGCCCCGGTGAAAGAGACCCTAGAGGACAGTAGGATCCGCGGAGACAGAGCCACTGGGGGGGCGGCGGCGGCGGCGGCGGAGACAGGAGAGCGAGGCACGGAATCGCAGCGGGAGGGAAATCTTGTTATAAAGCAGTGAAAGCCCGGAGATCCAAGGCTCTTCCTTCCGCGGAGATCCAGCCGGCTCCGAAGACAGGAAGGCGACTCGGTGCTTCCACGGCACCACGAGCCTTGCACGCGCTGTACTCCTCTCCTCTCCTCACAATGTGCACACTACTCCAGCGAGCTGCTTCCAGATGACATAATACGACCGGGGGAGCGGGCCAAAGAGGGCGTGGCAGAGCGGCACGGGGAGGAGCCTGAGGTAGAGGCTCAGGCCGGCAGGCGGCGCTCCCGCTGGTTGCTGCCTGCCTGGGCGAACGCGTGAGAAGAGTCCTTACGCTCACCCACAAGTTGCGGACGGCATGGAATCCTGGCAGCGTCTGGGAGCGCTTCCCATTGGCCGCTCAACCTTCCTTTTCGAACGCTAAGACAATCGGGGGGTCCATCGATTGGCTGAAATGTTCACAAAGCTGCGCCATCCTGCCCAGGGTCTGTAAGGTTCACTCGATCTAAAGGCTTCTTCGTGACTGACCCCCCCCTTCTCCTCCGATGCTTCCTAAATAATCCTTTCCTTTCTTTCCCACCATCCAGCTCCATCCCTCATTGTAAACGCCTTTCGTTATCTTACGTCTCCCCTGCCTGTGCAGAGCTGTTCTTTCTCGCATGCGTTTTACCGCTTTCATCCTATAGTTTCTATCAGAGTAATATTGAAATCGTAGACACACGTACTAGCAGGTAAATTTCATTGGAGCTACTGTCGATGGACGCCTGTAGTGCTCTATGGAGCTAAAACAAAATAATCTGCCATTGTAATAACGGACATCCGATATCCATGAGGTGGCGGCGTGGCAACCCTAGGCAAATCTATGGGTGGGCTGGCCCTGCCGGCAAGCCCCCCCACCCCACCTCTCCCCCTCCCCCTCCAGCACGGCATTCATAAGCAAACATGCTTCTTCCCTCCAGGCCATTTCCTTCTCTTATCTTTTCTCCACCCCCAGTCCTCGACGTTTAGCAGTAAAACTGTCTAATCTTATCAAAATTCCGCCTGTTTCGCCGAGGGAAACCAAGTTTCTCAGCCAGTTTATCAGTATTAATGAAACTGAGGTATGAAGCAATGTACTTTAGCGCAGCTAAAAGTGCTATTAAAAGGTGGGGGGTCACTTATTTAATTCTTTCCTATAAGCTCATGTGTGCCTTTTTCTGGATATCAGTCAATTCTGCAGAAGAGGAATGATGTTATAGGCATTATCCTGGGAAGCTTCCAAGCAGACAAGAAGGAACAATGACTTACTCTGAATGTGCTCAGGAAATGCCAGACTTCTTTTCAGCGCCCAAGTGCAGAATTGGCAGCCCTGCCTACCTGATCCCATTATTCTTAGTCTGTGTAGCCATTGTATCGACAGACAACCTGGTCAGTGTAGGACCTCAGGGGACTGTTAGCATTGCTCCTTTCTCTCCCTTTCCTCTCCTAATTGGATAATAGGCCATAAGCTATACTAGGGGCACTACTGAAAGCCTCTTTCTCTTTTGCCCTCAACCTGGAAACATGAAAGATACAAGGCCTAAGAGCACATCACATTTCCTCCAGATACGTCCCTTTGCTGGATGAGTTCTGGGAGTGCCATGTTTCCCAGGAGCATGGGGCCCTGTTTCAGATTGTGACCATGGGCAAGTGGAGAAAAGGCTTAGACTGGAAATGGCCACAGGGAGCCATTTGAGGGCTGTACATGTAGTGATATGGCTACATGTCAGTTAGTTTCCCCAGGGGACTGGGTAATGGCTTCCTGGAGCTGATTCAGGTTGAGAAACTGGCGCGAGGGGGAGGGGAGGTGTAAGCCTTTTCTTCTTGCAAGCTGTGGTCTTAATTAGGGCCCCAAAAACCTGGGAACCACAGAGCTCCCAGAACATATCTGCAGCCCAGCCAACCAGGGCCATACTTGGGGGGAGGGGGGAACCTAACATGTAGTGAGGCTTCAAGGGATCAGTCCTTCAGGTGAGCTCTTCATGCCTAGCCTCTGCCACCCACCCACCCACCCACCCACCCACCCGGTTGATTAATTTTACTTGCTGCTTACATTAGCCTCTTAGACCTTGTGATCCCTTTTCCTCCCCCCCCCCCCCCCCGTGTCACACAGTGACCAAAAACCAGGTGCATGGCTTATCATATCTGCAATAAGTAGGAGATTGTGTGCTGTTAGAGGTTTTCTTCTGCATGCTGGTTCTCCAGTGGCCCGAGAAAGTGTGTGTGTGTGTGTGTGTGTGTGTGTAGGATGCAGGCACCTGGTGATGTGTGGTGACAGACAAGCCCTGCACTCCCTGCCATTGAGCCTCCCATCCTGAAGATGGTTGTGGTGATTAACAATGGTGGGGGCCGGGATTCTCAGCTATTAAAACACATTAATCCACACAGCTGTGAAACAGTTCCTGATGTTTATTGGATTTCATCATTGATGAAGCCAGTCAGAAGAATGGGATTGCCAACCTCCATGTTCCAAAAAGGCTCCTGTGCTTTTGAACAGGGTCGCCAACTCTGGGTTTGGAAATACCTGGAGATTTGAGGTGAAGCCTGGGAGAGGGGGGGGGGGTAGGCAGGGAAGGGACTTTGGTATGGTATAATGCCATGCAGTCCACTTGCTAAAGCAGTCATTTTCTCCGTGAGAAGCAGAATAAATATTTTAAAAGAAATGTTTTAAATAAACAAATAAGCAATGTATGTAGTCTGGAGATCAGTTGTAATTCCAGGAGATCTCCAACCTCCACCTGGAGACTGGCAACCCTACTATTTAAAAGTTGCCTGCCATGTAACAGAGTAACAGATGTAGAGCCCTCCCTGTCGCTGCATGCCCCTGTTAGGTATGGCTTCAGCTGTCATAAGACTTTCATTCACAGTTTGCAAAGGTAGGACAAAAAGACTGGCAACCCCACAGAAGATTACGAGGGGGTAGCTGTGCTGTAACAAAATAAACCGATGTCCAAAGACACCTTGAAGAGGAACAACATTGATTTCAATAAAAACTAGGAAATAAATGGCTAGTCTTCAAGGTACAGCTGGGCTTTGGTTTTATTTTACTCTGCAGAGGAGCAGCTGGAGATATACTGGCTATTGCCACTGCAGTAGGGCTCACTACCCCCCCCCTCCAAAGAAAAGAGGAGTATAAATCATAGTGGATAAAATCTGCAGGACAGCCTTGAGCCAGAGTTTCTTAGCACCAAACCAGATGTACCCAGAGAGTTCCACACTTGGAGTTCCCAGGGGCTTTTTAGGTTTCATTTCTAGCTGTGCAGGGGCTCACATTGGGTTTGGACCATGACATACAGGTGTGGGGAGGCTGTTTCTGCATTGTCCTCATGCCATTTTTCCCAATCTGAAATGGCCCTGGGAAGCCCCTGTTTGTCTCGTTGGATTAAATTTATGAGTTCAAAAGATGTTTCAAAGGACAGGATAGAGAAATAGAATTAAATACAGAAGAGCGGAAGGAACAACAAGAAGAAAGGAACCAATAATGACAGGCAGAGGGGGGGAAGCCTCTGTTCCTACTGGCAGGGTGGTGGGAAGTGGGAAAAAGAAAAGGGGTCAAAGGAAAGAGCAGCAGGAGTACCATCAAGAGGACAAATCCATGTTTCAATCAGAGCAAGACGAGACATGATACACAGCAACAAGGTCATAAAGAAGGGCATGGTCTTTGTTAACTGAAGAGTGGCCGTTTAGAAAACCACAAGGAAAGAAAGAAGCAGAGCAGAGCATGAAATGGGCATGAGGGTCGGGTGGAAGGAAGAACACAAACCAGGGCCAGGATAAGGAGGAGCATCACCAGCACAGATAAGAGGAGAAGAACGAAAATGGGGAGCATGGAGAAACAAAGTCATCGCATCATAGAATGCAAAATGGGAGGCAGACAAGAAGGCACCTGAGAGTAAAACCAGCTGTCAAATAAATGCAGTATAAATCATGCAGTGATAAACAGCAAGAAAAATGCCCACAGTTAAGCACCTCCATCAGTTCTAAAAGAGAATATATATAAAGTCAAACCTTTTTGTCCAGCTCATAAAATGGCTTCTTTAGCCAACAAATCTCAAGTGGATACCAGATGAAAATTATTCTGGCCAAGTATAAGGCAACTAGGCATAGAAATTAGATGGGTCTAGGAAAAAATTGACAAATTTAGAACCACCAGTTTTCTGTCCCCACCCCCATTTTTCTGAAGCACAATTTCTGTTAAGTATTTTTCTCTTTGAAATGTATACAATTCTTTTTAAGATAAGGTTATATTTAGTCGAAATGTATAGTGTGACTGTTTCAGTTTTAACCATGGAAATTTTGGAGGGCACCAGAAAATACCTTTGAATTTTTTCTCCCTTTTGGAATTAGTAAGACAATATTGTACTAAAAATGTATAGTGCAAAAAAAACCCATGGGTTTTTTTCGTTTTTTTTCCATCAGAAAAATAGGAAAATTTCAGTGAGCTCTGAAAACGCCTATGAAATATGTTTTCCTTTTGATATGAGTAAAATATGTTGATGCCACAGAATGCAGCAGTTTGCAACTCTCTCCTTTTTTAGTAGTCATTATAGTTGCAATTTCACTGGCAAAAAAAATAAGGCATTCATACTTTTAATTTCATAAGTGTGTCAATTAATAATTTTTACATGCCACCTAAGTGTCAAGGCACTTTATGTTGTCAAAGCAGCACAACAGGTTTAGGTTTGATTGAACAGTAAGTATTGCATATATTTCAGTTTCTTCCCAAATGTCTGTTTCCCCCAAAACTGATCTGGGGGGGGGGGCACATGACATTTCCCCCTCATCATCATCCCTCTCTTGCCACCCATGTGTATGGCTGCCTCATGAGCCCTGCTTGGAGTGTGTGGAATTGAGGACTCAGTGGTGGGAGACCAGAGTGGTATCCCTCACTCCAGGTGATACAGAATCCTCTTTGGGCCTCTCACTGCTGCAGGGACCTGTCAGGGCTCAGAGGAATGGGGCCACTTAACACAGATGCTGGGGTCTTTGAAGGCAGTGCTGAAAAATTACACTAATGGTACCTGTGGCTTATGCTGTGTAATTTTCTGTGTCAAGCCACAGAATTATGTCCCTGATCATTGCCATTATGAGATATTATCTTCAAGAAAAACAAGCAAGCCAAAACAGACAAAAAAA